AATATAAAAAGTACTGTTTCAAGCACTTTACATTTGTTAACATTTGTTAACTAATTTAGGCCCCTTAACACTCCCATGAAGACGATATTATGATTAGATTGATTTTTCAGATGACGAAAACTGAGGCACAGAAATGGCATAACTTGCGCAAGGTTACAACAGCTAGTAATTTGCATATCCTGGATTTGAACCAAAAATCTGGGTACAGAGTCCACAGTCTCAAAATATTATGTGTTTCCTATCAATAAGACTATTTATTGAACCATTTAATATGTTCTAAAGAAATAGTACCAAGTCTCTTACCTAGACCAGTGGTTTGGGTGATGACACTTAGGACAAAGTCTGGAGACACTTTTCATTATCACAACTTGGGTGGGGGTGCTACTGGCATCTAGTGGGTACAGAAGAGGGATGCTGCTCAACACCCAACAATATGCACCCCCCACAAAGAAGAGTTACCCAGGCCAAAATGTTAATGGTGCTGAGGTTAAGAAACTCTGACATGAACCCATGAGATGAAGGTACTAATAACATTTCCACCCAACTGGCTCAGTCAGTAGAGAATGAGACTCTTAATCTCAGGGTCACAGATTCATGCCCCACATTGGGTGCCAATAATTTAAAAATTATCTAAAAACAAAATTCAACAGTTAAACATAGATTCTGAGACTTAAAGAGGGAGTAGGTTCCCCTAGAGAACACCCAGGCCATCTGACGTCAGAGTCCAGTTGCCACCTCCCACCATGGTGCTTCTCATTACTGATCTGCTCAGTTTATCTGACACTGGAGTTTTTTCCTTTTTTAAATTTATTATTTATTTATTTATTTATTGAGACAGAGTCTTGCTCTGTTGGCCAGGCTGGAGTGTAGTGGTGCAATCTTGGCTCACTGCAGCCTCCACCTCCCAGGTTTAAGCAATTCTCCTGCCTCAGCCTCCTGATAGCTGAGATTGATTACAGGCATGTGCCTCTGTGCCCAGCTGATTTTTGTATTTTTAGAAAAGAGATGGGGTTTTACCATGTTGGTCAGGCTGGTCTCAAACTCCTAACCTCAGGTGATCCACCCACCTTAGCCTCTCAAAGTGCTGGCATTACAGGCGTGAGCAACTGCGTCTGGACTTAAAAAAAAAAAAAAAGAAAAAAGAAAACTTCTTTATTTTTTCAGACAGAGTCTCACTCTGTCACCCAGGGTGGAGTGCAGTGGCGCCATCTCTGCTCATTTCAACCTCTGACTTCTGGGTTCAAGAGATCCTTGTGCCTCAGCCTCCCAAATACCTGGGACTACAGGTGCATGCCATCACACCTGGCTAATTTTTTATTTTTAGTAGAGATAGGGTTTCACCATGTTGGCCAGGCTGGTCTAGAACTCCTGGCCTCAGGTGATCTGCCTGCCTTGACCTCCCAGAGTGCTGGAATTACAGGCGTCACCGTGTCCGGCCGAGTTTTCCCTTTTTTCTTTTCTTTCCTTTTTTTCTTGGACCTTTTTTGGAATAAACGGCAGATATGTTGTCACATGCATCTTCATAAAACCTATGTGACATTCTCCTACATATTCATAACTCCATTATTACAACTCAGGAAAGTCTCCAGTTGTCTGAGAATGTCTTTTATTGCTGCTTTTCTACCCCATTTCAGACTCTAATTGAAGGTACAAACATTTCATTTAGTGGTATGCTTCAAAAAAAAACCTAGGCCAATTGCCTTATAGAATAATCCATATTATGGATTTGTCTGGCTGTGTTCTTGATTAGATTCAGATGAAACATTCTCGTGAGGGATCTTCCATGATGTCTTTATTGCATCATACCGGAAGGCATCAATGTCACTCGGTCTCATTATTGGTCATGCTAATTTTACCACTATGTAAAGTGGTGGCTGCACAACTCTCCAGTGTAAAAGTACATCCTTCTGAAATTAGTGAGTGTTTTGTGGGGTAATAGTAATTACCTGCATGTAATTATGGGTCCATGTAAATAACCTGTCTCCCAAAACAGGAAGGTTTGTTTTTATACAAACCTGACACTTTTTCAAACTGTAGAACTTTAGAGAGAGAGAGGAAAAAAAAATCACTTTGCTACTTTAAACCTGAGGTTCAACAGGGACAATAACATCCCCCTTCCAGGACTGTCTTAACTATAAAGCTATGGAGTGAATTGTGTCTCCACCAAATTCATATAATATATTGATGTCCTAATCCCCAAAGTGATAGTATTTGAAGATGAGCCTTTGGGGAAATAGGCTTAAATGAGATCTTGAGGGTAGCGTCCTGATGGGATTAGCACCCTTACAGAAAGAGGCCCTAGAGAAGGCAGTCATCTGCAAGCCAGGAAGACAACCCACCCCAGAACCCAACAATGCTGACACCCGGATCTCAGACCTCCAGCCTCCAAAACTGAGAAGATAAATGCCTACCGTGTAAGCCACCCAATCTATGGTATTTTGTTATGGCAGCTCGAGTTGACTAAGACAGATTAAGTGCTAAAACCTTCCTAAGAATCTCCAGAACATTACTTGACACAGAATAGCTAATGAATGTAATACAGTTCTTTTCTATAATCTCTGAGATTCTGGGGGTTTTCCTGAGCTACTAAGGAAAAAAGGCAGGGCTGGGACAGTAAGTACCCTGGCAGGGTTTGTCCTGTCTTGGTAGCAGACAGAACTTCTCACAGTGAGGGCTTTACATTAGAGGAAACCCCATCTCTACTAAAAATACAAAAATTAGCCAGATATTGTGGCACACGCTTATAATCCCAGCTACTTGGAAGGCTGAGACAGGAGAATTGCTGGAACCTGGGAGGTGGAGGTTACAGTGAGCTGAGATTGCACCACTGCACTTCAGCCTGGGCAACAGAGTGAGGGTCTGCCTCAAAAAAAACAAAAAACAAAAAACAACAAAAGAACACGGGGACTTTGGCATGCTTGCTCTCCTCCTTTGGGTACCAGGGATAGGAAGATAGGAGCCCCGCCCTTACCAAGTTTATATTCTAGTGGAGGAAATACTGATAACACACAAGCAGATGTATTGTGATGCATGCTATGAATAAAATAAACAGAGAGCTATGGCCAAGACTAGTGTTGAGGAAGAGAGGCTTCTGATAGAGCTGTCAGAACAAGCCTCTCAGAGGTGATGGCTTGAAGGATGAGACTTGAAGGATGAGAAGGACTTAGCCTTGCAAAGGATGGGGGAAAAGCATTCTAGGAAGGGGACTGGCAAATACTGAGGCACCGAGGTGGAAAATTGCAGGGTGGGGTAGGGGAGCAGAATGCAGGGCTGGGGACTCAGTGCATCTGGAGCCTAGTGAGGAGAGCATGAGATGAGGCTGAAGTGGCTGGCAGGGGCCTGGCCATGGAGGGCTGCGTGGGCCATGGAAAGAGTGTGGGCAAGCCACTGAAGGGCACTGGATTGTTTTACAATTGCGGTAAATAGACACAACATAAAATTTACCATTTTAACCATTTTTAAGTGTACTATTCAGTAACATTAAGTACATTTACACTGTTGTGAACATACTACCATCCATCTCTAGAATTTTTTCTTCTTCCCAAACTGAAACTCTGTACTCATGAACTAAGAAATTCCCCACTCCCAATTACTCTAGTCCCTGAAAGCTTTTAAACAAGGAGATATGTAATCCAATTGTCATTCTGAGATGATTACAAATGAAATGAAATGAAATGCAAATGGCAAATGAATCACTGACACAGGTAGGAGCAGGAAGAGCAGTAGACAAGATGGTGGTTTGGGCAAGGAGTAGAGGTAAAGAAAAATGGGCAGACTTGAGAAGCAATATTGGCAGAATGCAGTGTGGCTGTTCTCTGTTGGTGTTGGTGGGGGTGGTGGTAGTGGAAGGTACTCACAGCTAACTTGGGAGCCCAGCTTGTGCTCCCAGACGGCATGTAGTTGCTGGTACTCCTGCTGTGCAAGCTCCAGGCGCTGCTGCTTCACCTGGTAGATCTCCTTTTGTGCACTCAGGGCCTCCTGGGCCACCACCAGGTAATCCTTCAGCATGTGTTCCTGCTCCCGCCGCCATTGTACTCGAGGATCCTCAATCTGAGTGGTTTCTGGAACAGACCCCAGAGATTCTAGGTCAGCATCTCACAAATATCTGTTGGGCTGGTGGCATGTGGAATCCACTATCAGAAAACAAAAAGCAAAATGCATAGACAAATCACAATAAATATAAGTGGGTCAAACTCATTTACTAAATGACAGTGATTCTCCATTTGGAGTAGTCAAACAAATAATAAGCCATGAGAGGCCAGGTGCAGTGGCTCATGCCTGTACTTTTGGGAGGCCAAAGTAGGCGGATCACTTGAGGTCAGGAGTGAGACCAGCCTGGCCAACATGGTAAAACCCCATCTCTACTAAAAATACAAAAATTAGTCAGTGTGGTGGCAGGCACCTGTAATCCCAGCTGCTCAGGAGGCTGAGGCAGGAGAATTGCTTGAACCCAGGAGGCAAGGATTGCAGTGAGCCAAGATCATGCCACTGCACTCTAGCCTGGATGACAAAATGAGACTCTTGTCTACAAAAAAAAAAAAAAAAAAAAAAAAACAAACTAAAAAAAAAAAAAAAAAAAAAAAAAAAGAATAAACCAGGAAAAATTTCCAAACCCAATGTCAATCTCTCAGAATAGCCGGAAGAATAAGGACCATGTTAGAGTACTAACCTAAACAGAGAGGCTCAAGGACATTAGAGATGCTCAAGGTAATCTCTTTTGGTAAAGAGTAAAGGAAAGAAAAATAATTAATGTTTCAGAGGATGTGGAGAAATAGGTATCCCATAGCCAGCTGTTAATGTAAATTAGAACAGCCTTACTAGAAGGCTATCTGACCATTCTCCCTATAGCAATTCATTATAAAAAGTAGGCTGGGCGCAGTGGCTCACACCTGTAATCCTTGCAGTTTGGGAGGCCGAGGTGGGTGGATCACCTGAGGTCAGGAGTTCAAGACCAGCCTGGCCATCATGGTGAAATCCCATCTTTAAAAAAAAAAAAATTTTTTTAAGTAATTTAAATTCAGTCAAACATATATTTGCACAAAACCATGATAATAATAATATATTATGAAATAGCAAGCTTGTCATTCTGTGATAAGTGCCGTTCTGAGTACTTTACATATGTTTACTTCTTTTTTTTAATTTGTATTTTTAAATTAAATTTTTTTTTTACATAGAGATGGGGTTTTACCATGTTGGCCAAGCTGGTCTTGAACTCCTGACCTCGTGATCCACCCATCTCGGCCTCCCAAAGCGCTGGGATTACAGACGTGAGCCAACGCGCCCAGCCATGTTTACTTCTTAAATCGTTATACTAACCTTATAGATTCTATTACTAGCCCCGTTATACCAATGAGAAAACTGAGGCATAGAGAGGTTAAATAACTTACTCAAAGTCACACATGAAATAACTGTTCAAATATGACAAACGAGATATTGTACAATCAGCATCATGTGGTGAATCCAGCCTTCAGATAGGTATGCACGCTATAGTCACAGGATGCACTATTATAAAGATAATGTCTTTGAAGAAAAATTAATAATATGGAAAGGTGCTTATGATATGCAGGCAGGTCATAAAACTGAATAAATAACTGTATCAAAATCAATATGCACATCCTCAAAAAGATGAGAAAATAAGAAAAAACATCAACAATCATCTTGGTGGGAGGATATTTTATTTTTTTTAAAAAATTATGTGTACAAAAAACATGAAAGATAATAATCTGAAAAAAAGTAGCTGACTACATATGAAAGAGGTTAAAATAATGTCAAAGAATCAATGCCCATGGACCATTAACTCCTCCAGTCAGCCACAGTTGTTGGGTGGTGTTAGGGGTGATTGACAAACCAGAAATTGTACAATCAGGGCCATGTGGTGAATACAGCCTTCAGGTAGGTATTGCTTCTGAACTGATTACTGGTATGTAAAAATAGAGACATGTATTCATTAAAATCCTGTTTCATGGATTTTCTTAATCATTCAGAAGTTCTGAACACCTTGGGTTCATAATTGGCCAGAAATCCCAGCACTCACCTGTCAAAACCTGGTCTGCTTCCTTCATTTAAGTCATATGCCCAGCCCTGGGAACATTTGAGTTTATGCCTCCCAGTCTAGGCCCTTTAGCTCTCATTCCTCCTAAACAGGTCCATTGGGCATCTCCAGTGAAAGAAAGATCAAAGCAGCAGCAGGGCCAAGTTCTCATTCCTGCAATTATCGCTGTGTTACAATGGAAGGGCTGTTTAACCTCTCTGAATCTACTTTTGTATCTATTAAAGCGGGTAATGAACCCTGCATCACTACTCCCCAGGAAATAGGAAACTAAAGCACTTGTGCCCAGGTAAAGAAAACAAATGATAGTGAAAGTAAAACCCAAACTATTGCCTAGGACCAGTTTTTGTTGTTATTTTCTTTTCTTTTTTTTTTTTTTTTTTTGTGATGGAGTCTCACTCTGTTACCCACGCTGGAGTGTGGTGGCGTGATCTCAGCTCACTGCAACCTACGCCTCCTGGGTTCAAGTAATTATTCCTGCCTCAGCCTCCCGAGTAGCTGGGATTACAGCTATTTGCCATTTTTGCGTATTTTTAGTAGAGACAGGGTTTCACCATGTTAACCAGACTAGTCTTGAACTCCTGACCTCAGGTGATCCACCCACCTTGGCCTCCCAAAGAGCTGGGATTACAGGCATGAGCCACCATGCCCAGCCTAGGACCCATTTTTGAATTGTCTTTGAATAGCAATTCTATAAGCTTTTCCTCCTTAATTCTGAGAAAGAAAGTAAGGTCAGAAGGCTGCTGACAGTGGCTACAAAAAAACTGCCCCTCATGAGGAAAGCTTTCCATCCCTCCAAAGCAAGCGAGAGGCAGGAACAACTGCAAAAATAATACAATGACAAAACAGAAAAACAAGGGGGAGGTAGAATTTGTAAAACTGGGCTACAGAACAGCTGCTGTGGGTTCCCATCTCCCATCAGCAGCTGCGGATTCCCTCGGCGTTTGGGACTCATGGGTCTCCCTGAGGAATCTGCACTACACCTCCAGCTGGCACAGGCCACAGAAAAAAAGCAGCTCAGCCTGTCTTGAACAGGCTGGCAATGTTTCTTCAGGTTTGTAACTTTTTAAAGATCTGCTTTTTCATTAATGAAAAATACAAAACAGAAAACTCCCACAATTCCACCATGACAAGTTTGTGAAATAGGAGTTTCCCCCCTCCAATCCCATTGCCCAGAGGTAACTGTTGTTGAGTTTCATACAGATACTGTCTTCTGATTATATATGAATTTTTGGTTATACATACATGCCTGCATATACAGGGTTACTTTAATGTAACATGGACCACGCCATATATTTTGGTCTGTGACTTGCTTTCATCTCCAAATTATACAGCATGCTCATTTTTGCCGGTAGGTACACCATCTTTTAAACAGCTGTACAGTGTTCATTTCTATGGTATTTGGGTTTATTTAACCAGACCTTGAGGGGAAATATTTGAATTGTTTTCAGTTCTTTTGCTGCTACATTCAATGCTGCATGAGGTTTCTCAAAAACATGTGTCTATGAACTTGTGCTACTAATTCTGTGGGATAGATTTCTTAAAGAGAAACTACTAGATCAGAGGGTATACATACTTATATTTTTAATAGATATTACCAAATTACCTTCCAACGGTAGATAATTTCTGTTCTCAAAAACAGCCCATAAGAGTGCCTCTCCCCACAGATTCTCAGTGAAATTGCTTTAAAAAAAAAATCAGTGCCTCATCTGGTGATTCTGGGTCTTTGCTGCATATTAGAATTAGCAGAGAAGCTAAACACACACACACACACACACACACACACACACACACACACACACACACACACACACACACACCCCAAGCCTGAATTCTTCCCCAGAACACTTAAATTAGAATTTCCAGGAGTGGGGCTCAGGTATTGACAGCTTTAAAAGCTTCTCTGGGTGACTCTGGTGCAGACATAGCCTAGAGTCCCTGGCTGAACATTAGAATAACCTGGGAGAAATTTTTAAAAATCTTGATCCTGCTCCTGGACCAATCAAATCCCAATCTCTGGGAGTGAGAATAAAGCAATGATGATTTACAAAGCTCCTCAAATAATTCCAGCGTGCCACCCAAGGTGAGAACCAGTGTCTATGCACGTTGGAATCAGCTGAGAGATTTCCACTGAATTGATCTACAGTGTGAAGTGGGCATCAATTTGTTACATTTCTAAGAATATTTCCTTTACCTCAACAATCCCTTGGATGCTCCCAGGCAATCTCCTCCACCCACCCGCTCTCCCAGTTTGCCTGTTTTAGAACTTCATATGCATAGATTCACACAGTATATGCTCTTAGGGCCTCAGTTCTTTCACTGAGCATAAGATTTTTGAGACTCATTCCTGTTGCTGTATTTGTTGTACATTTCTTGTTATTGCTGAATAATATTCTATTCTATGAATCTATCACATTGACTCTGTGATAAATTGTTAGTTTGCTTCCAGTTAGGGGTTATTATGACTAATACTCTTTGTGTAGGCACATTTTCATTTCTCTTGGGCAAAAATACCAGGGGTAGAATTGCTGGGTTATATAGGGCAAGTATATGTCGAATTTCATAAGAAACTGGCAAACTTTTCCAAACTGGTTGTACCATTTTACATTCTCACCAATAGTATATCAGAATTCTAGTTCTTCCACATCCTTGCTAGCAATTGGTATTGTTATTTTTTTCTTCATTTTAGTCATTATAGTGGGTATGTAATGATACCTCATTGTAGTTTTATTTTTTGAGATGGGGGTCTCACTATGCTGTCCAGGCTGGTCTTGAATTCCTGGGCTGAAGTGATCCTCCAGACTCAGCCTCCCAAGTAGCAGGGACTACAGGCATGCACCACCATGCACAGCTAATTTTCTATTTTTATTTTTATAGAGATGAAGTCTCACTCTGCTGCCTTATGTCTCACTATGGCCGGTCTTGAACTCCCGGGCTCAAGTGACCCTCCACCTCAGCATCCTGAAGTGCTGGGATTACAGGCATGAGTGAGTGTGCCAGTTGCTTCTTACT